GACAGTGAGTGCGGGTGCTGGGTGGGACCATGGCATGTGGGAGCAATGGGTTTTCAGTAACCACTAGAAGGCTCACTCTGATGACAGCGACTGGCACCCTGCCTTGGTCTGGCATCCCTGCTCACCTGCTCCACCAACCCACCATGGCTGTCGCCTGCCATGTTCCACACTCTGCCGCTTGCTGCTGGCACCTGCCATGTTCCATGTGTGCACGTCATAGCAGCCGGTTGTTTGGTTGTTTGGTTGTTCCACCATTCAGTCTATTTGCATATTAGGGTTTTTTATATATAGATTATTATATAACCCTCACATGTCTAGGACTTTTCATCATGTCCAATGGGAATGCTGTGTCCATTAAACACTAATTCCACATTCTTCTACATTCTGTGCTCCCCCAACCTCTCGTAACCACCAATCTGCTTTCTGTCTTTACGAGATTGACTATTCTAAGTACCTCATGGAAGTGGAAATCTACAGTATTTATCCTTCTGTGACTGGTTTATTTCACTTAGCACATGTTTTCAAGGTTCATCATGTTGTAGCATGTATTAGAATTTCATTCTTTTTTATATTTATTGTTGAAAATATTACAGATGTCCTATTCCCTCTCTCCCTCCTCCTCCACTTTGCTCCTTTCACCCTGCTCCTGCCCCCTCCCCAGGCCTTCCCCACACTATTGTTTGTTTATGGGCTGAGCATATATGCATATAAATTCTTAGTTTAATCTCCTTTTTGAGGCTAATATTCCATGGTGTGTATAATCTCCATTTTGTTTATCCATTCATCTGTTGGTGAGGTTTGGGTGAAGAATGCTGCCACGAACCTGCGTGTGCAAGTATCTGTCCAGTCTCTGTGTTCATTTCTTTTGGGTACATACCCAGCAGTGGAATTGCTGGATCTTATGATAATTCTGTGTTTGACTTTTTGAGGAACCACCAGATGTTTTCCACAGAAGCTGCACCAGTTTATATACCCACCAGCATTGCAAGAGGGTTCCACCTTCTCCTGGGGCAGGACTAGCTGTGTGTGCTCGGTATAAACCAGCTTGACTGAGGCCCAGATTTTACACAAGGCTGGATTAGGAAGATCTTAAGAGCTGGCCATGGGATTGGTACTTCATTCTGTAGGCTTTGGGATGCTGGTAAGGGCTCCTGAGCTCAGGGAAAAGCAGGATTAGAGTAGTCCTCCAGGAGGCTAAGGATCAAAGGATACGTGCAGAATGTATTGGGCCCGAGAATTGGAGCATGGTCGTCAGAAGATGGCAGTGATCCAGCTGCAGGAAGGTGGGAAAGGCAGGGATGAAAGTGGAGACTTTTTTGGGTAGCATTGGCCACAACCTGTGCACCCTCATGTGGAGAGAGGACAAGGATGTACGTATAAGCAGTGGTACCTCCTTGACCTCATGGTTTCTGAGGTCCTACCTTGAAGATAGGATGTTTAGAGGGGACTGCATCTAGTTAGCTCCCTGTTTACTGAAGACATAGGCATTTGCCGCAGACCATGGAGCTGTATCATGGATAGCGGGAGGAATGCCCACCTAATTGACCATCCTAGGGCTTGGCCCCCTTGAGTAGGATAAGACCAGCGATGCTTGTAGAAAGAACAGAAACACCAAACTCAAAGTAAGTATGGAGGGAAAGAAGGGAAAAGAGGGTGCCAGTTAGGGTGTCTCAACCAAAATGTGAGCTAGTTCCAAAGTTCTCGTTTTGATCTCCCGTTTGCATAGTGCATAAAAACGATACGATCCTACAGAATATTACAGGGATGGTGTCTGTGTGGCCAGTTCGCTTTGCATCCGCCATGGTGCATGCCAGCCAGCTTCTCCGTGGAAAATCATTCCTGCCTCAGAATGCTTCTGCCCCTTTTCCTCGGTCCCTTGGTGTCTCCACCACTGAAGATTTCTAGAAGGTGCAAGGGTCCAGCTAGGGGTTGTCCTTTGTGTTACTAGAGGGCTGAGTGCTGTTTGTGTCTAGGTGTGGGATCCTGAGCCAGTGGGTATAGTGGGCAGATGGCTGGGTGTGGGTTTTAGTGGAGACAGGTTGCAAGGGAGTTTTGAATGACGTATTTAAAATAGGTAGAATAATGGGATCTACAATCAGATCTATGCACCATGATTAACTTAATTAGACAGAGGATGGAGAAATATGCTTAAAAAGTTGATGTAATAACTGTTTCAGGGCATAGGATATGGAAGACAATGAGACAGCAGCTGAAATGCGATTAGCCGGGGTGTGCTGGCCTGCCTGATAGCGGAGTGCCCCGCCCGGAAGCCGGAACAAAGGCTGCCTGCCACACGGTTATCGCCTGTCACACAGGCTCCCGGGAGGCAGCTGTCCTGACAGGGTTATAAGGAAAATCGTTAATGGGAACTATTACCTTTTCTGGGTTCCTTCTAAATAGATGTCCTCTCTTGACACGGGTTTGTGTATATTTCTACCTGTGTTTTCAAATCTGGGGATTTAGGTTTTTAAAAAAATGAATGATTCTTATCCTGGTGCTGAGAAAGAAAATGACTCCGTTAAAAAAAAAAAAAAAAAGAAATCCCAGGCGGGTGTACATTTTTATCTGCATGTTAAACGGTCAGCAGTCGCCCACCCTCCCCCCCACACCCCTGCCCCCGTTGATTGCTGGGTGGAGAGGGTACACTCGCTGACATGAGTAACAGAAGTTTGACAAGAAGCTGCCGCGGACCCCGCAGGCCTGGTTAGGTGGTGCAGATGCTGTTACCAAACTTGAATCCTTCCTGGCTCAGCCCAGCCTGGTTTGGACCCTGGGAGCCGGTGGTTTGCCCAGCTGTGTAGACACCTTGGCGGTGGGGGAAGAGCCCGTTTTCTCAATGAGCACTAGTTGCCCCAGAGCTGTGGTCGGCAAACTGTGGCTCGCGAGCCACATGCGGCTCTTTGTCCCCTTGAATGTGGCTCTTCCACAAAAATACCACGGTCTGGGAGGGTCTCTTTTGAAGAAGTGGCGTTAGAAGGAGTTTAAGTTTAAAAAATGTGGCTCTCCAAAGAAATTTCAATCGTTGCACTGTTGATATTTGGCTCTGGTGACTAATAAGTTTGCTGACCACTGCTCCAGAGAATCAGCAGGCTTGGAAGGGACCCATTCACATGTTCACAGAGGCCCTTGGAGCTTCTTTAGAAATGAACCCCCCGCCGAAACCGGTTTGGCTCAGTGGATAGAGCGTCGGCCTGTGGACTTAAAGGTCCTGGGTTCAATTCCGGTCAAGGGCATGTACCTTGGTTGCGGGCACATCCCCAGTAGAGGGTGTGCAAGAGGCAGCTGATCGATGATTCTCTCTCATCAATGTTTCTAACTTCCTATCCCTCTCTAACTTCCTATCCCTCTATCAATAAAGTATATTTTTTTAAAAAGAAAGAATAAGAAAAAGAAATGAACCTCCTGCTTTTTCCCATGAGGGGCCCCTGCAGGGACTCTGGGTTCTGTTCTAGCAGGAGCAGCACAGCAGAACTTCTCTCTGGTCCCTGACTGAGCTGCTGAGCAGCCTGCCCGGCACCCAGGGAGGCCAGGGCTTCAGAGAGGACTCCGTCCCTGTGGCTGCTCCAGGCCCTGGGTCACCGCGCTCACTGCAGGCGGATTGCATGCTCTGCATCTCCAGACAGGCCCGTGGGGCAGCTGTGAGAAACGACACGGAAAATGTGCAATGCCAAAGCCCTCTCTGTCGCACCTGAAGGAGATCCAAGCTCTGGGCAGGATCAAAGAGGCTGTAAACCCGGGGTGTGGGATGAAAGCTCCTGCGAGGCAGAGAACAGAGAGCAGAACTTGGCCGCGTTTTCAAAGACCTGTAGTTCCCACAAAAGAAAGAGGGAGGGAGCGGGAGGGAGCAGAGAGCAGTGGTTTGGGAGAGGCCTTGCACACTGGAGCTGACCCCGCTGATCCTTTCCGTGGAAGCTTGCTTTTGTAGCTGATCAAAGACTGGGAGGTGCTTTCCAGCTAATGGGACTGAGAGGAAGGAAGGGCCGGGGGGCCGGGAGGGACACGACACACACAGGACCCATGGCAAATCACAGATAAGAGATGGGGAAGCTTATCTGGTGATTTGTTGAATTTGACTTTATTTTTTTAACTATAGGAAAAAAGGCCATAATACCAGTGATATTGAGAAGGCCGTGGAGTGTAGGTGCCCCGGGAGCTGTGCCCACTAGATGGGAGAGTTCTGTTGGGCCAGGCCCGTGGGAGGCTCACCCTCAAAGTTGAGCTGAGCTAGATGCTGGGTCACATCTTCAACCAGACAAGCGGGACTGTGGAGTTTCAGGAACAGTGACATGGGATGGAGCACAGTTATGGGGGGGCCATCAATACACTTGCTCTGGAGCACTGGCCTATGATGCTTCTCAGGGGTAGGAAGGATGATATGAACGTAAGATGTGTGCCTGTCATAGTACAGGTATTTTATTTTCTGCTTTAATACTTCCAGAAGCTTCCAGAGGGCCACGTGACCCATAGCAGTGGCCCCGAGCCACTCCAAGTTACCTTGAAGAGATCACTCTGGTCAGTTGATCTGAAATGGCTGTGATTTTTAAGAGAAAACATTAACACAGTATTTAAATTAAATAAGTATAATAATTATATTTACCAAATCATATTGCAGAAAGTGAAGATAATCGTGGCAGAAAAAAGCACATTATCCAACTCTGCATCATAGCCAGTCTTATTTAGACATACTGCTTTAGAGTCCTTTCTTGAATGCATCTAAATATAGTTTCGTCTCCAACACTACAAACTTCTCCCCGCATGTTTTTATGAAGTCTTCATCACTGGGATTTTTAAATTTAATGGCATTTTGATTTCTTTGGGGATATTTGAAAGTGGCAGCATTTTGAGTTTTCTCATAATGATTTGAGGTAGAGGTTGAATTGTAATTTAATTTATTTGTGTGTGTGTGTGTGTGTGTGTGTGTGTGTGTGTGTGTTTAAAAGGCATTTCATGCTAGATCTCGGCTATTAAAACACTGTCTTTTCTCGTGTTTCTGTTAACAGGGATCTACCGCACAGAGAAAGATAAAGGAACTTTGTATGAGCTCACGTTCAAAGGGGACCACAAGCACGAATTCAGGCGCCTTGTCCTGTTCCGACCGTTTGGCCCTATCATGAAAGTAAAAAAAGAAAAACTCAACATGGCCAACACGCTCATCAACATCATCGTGCCACTGGCAAAGCGGGTGGACAAGTTCCGACAGTTCATGCAGAACTTCAGGTTTGTGTGTTTGCACCTGCTTATCTTCCCCCACGGGGAGCGTGTTAAATGCTGATATCATTTCCCGTCATCTCCCTCATTTCCCCCGCCGAGGACAAAGGCGGCTTTCTCTCCTTGTTCAACTCTGTTTTCTTCATATCGCCTTTATCATTTGAGTTTGCCTTTCCCTAAAGCAATTAGAAAACTGCCAGATAAGCAGATTTACCTTGGAAAGGGAAGCTAGGAAGGATTGGGGTTTCCTCGGGATCTACAAAGAAGGCCTGACCACACCTGTGGCTTTCAGCTCTAACTAGGGTTTGGGCTCAGGCCTGGGGACAGCAAGGACCGTGCTATCGCACCAGTAGAGTGGACCCTCTCCTGGGCTCTCAGAGGCCGGCGCCACGTGGCCTTGAACTTGAGCTGGAAGCTGGCTTCATTGGCTGCCCTGCTCTAGCAGTTGGCTGGAGTGGACTGAATCAGAATCTATTTTTTATTATAACCTGTGGCTCCTCAGATTAAATTTAGAATGGTGCCAAGAAATTTCCAAGCACTCATTTCTGTAGCTTCTCAAGGAGACTAAGTGGGTTTTATTTTCAGATGCAGGAATGCTGTTTTACTTGTGTGTCTTTAAAGGTTTGTGCAGTGTTGGGGTTTATAAGCTGTTGCATTCACGTACTGGTCGAGGTTAAATCAGCTCACTTACTTAGCCAGCTTGTTTTAAAGATAGGAAGTCACACACACACACACACACACACACACACACACACACACACGATAGCAAGTTGTAGGTGTCTAATTGTAAATCCTGGAAGATCAGACTTATTTTTATAGTCTGTTATCATTAAATTCACATTATTCAAAGCCAGTAACACTTCATATAAAGGTATGGTTGATACATCTCAAAATTCTGGATAGTGAATGTGCTCTTTTTTAATTTTTACAATTGAAGAGGAACCCTTTTCCACCGTAGTTAAATTTGAAGGTCAGGCGAAACCGGTTTGGCTCAGTGGATAGAGCGTTGGTCTGCATACTGAAAGGTCTCAGGTTCGATTCCAGTCAAGGGCATGTACATTGGTTGCGGGCACATCCCCAGTAGGGGGTGTGCAGGAGGCAGCTGGTCGATGTTTCTCTCTCATCGACATTTCTAGCTCTCTATCTCTCTCCCTTCCTCTCTGTAAAAAAATCAATAAAATATATTTTAAAAAAATATTTGAAGGTCAGAATTCAATAGTCTTAGAAGAGACTTTTGAGGGTCATTTGGTCTAATCCTCCCTTAGTTCAGAATCCTTGAGAGCACTCCTGGCATGTGGTTTTTCTGTGCAATGTGTGTGTATGCCAGGTAACTACCTTCTTAACAAGGTGGGCTGTCTTTATGCTGACCAGCTGTAGATAGAAAGCTCACTTTTATTAGGTCCTGAAGTCCACCCTCCTGTAATTTCTACTCAGTGGCTCTGAAGGAAGGACTGAACAAATTAATTTCCTATTAAACATCCCAGCCTTTCAGATATTTGAAGAATATGATCATAACTCCCTTTGATCTTTTTTAAAAAATATATATTTTATTGATATTTTTTTACAGAAGAAGAGTAAGGGATAGAGAGTTAGAAACATCGATGAGAGAGAATCATCAATCAGCTGCCTCTTGCACACCCCCTACTGGGGATGTGCCAGCAACAAAGGTACATGCCCTTGACCAGAATTGAACCTGGCACCTTTCAGTCCGCAGGCCAATGTTCTATCCACTGAGCCAAACCGGTTTCGGCCCTTTGATCTTTTCTGTGGTATCCTTTGGACCGACCTTTTCGTCCAGTTTGTAGAATACTCTGGTGGGCACCATTATTTGACTGTCGACCACATTCTTCTGGCTTTAGTACTGAAGAGACTATGGCGTTGGCTTCTGTCTCCCTTTGGTGTTTCTACGTCTCTCCCTGTGTTCTTTTTGGAATGGCAGATGCTGCTGGTTGATTAAGCATTACCTGTTTAGAAGGATGAAACCTAAGGCTGGCACTTAGGCATTTAGCCAAACCATTTCTCCCAGCAGCTAGTGTGCCATGTCTAGGACTAGCTCAAAGTAACTTCCTTTAGCCAGGAAGCTGCCTAGCACTTGCCAGATGAAGGGCCTTGAGATTTGCTTCACTGCACATAGGCTAGTCTCTGAGTGTGCTGGGCTTGGTAAGGTAGTGCTATGCTAAAGGAATGTCTGCTCAGTGAAGAGCCAAGTTCTTTGCCTAGGACCCCAGGGGCCTGGAAGCCTTGAATGGTAAGATTTGTATGGCTGCCATACATATCACAATGTATGTAAGATATATATTGCCTTAGTGTCATGAGTATTACAAGAAATTAACTTAGAAAGGAAATATTGTTGGGAAAAAAGTAAATAAGTAACTCACAAGTCGCCAAAATTGAGAGGGTAACATGACATATAATTCTAGTCCATGTTTTAAAAACAGACAAAAATCCTAGGGTCTTTTTCCTTGACTGTCACTCTTGAGGCGCCTGTTGTTGCTGTAGGCGGGAGATGGTGGGTAGGAAGACCTGTTACGTGGGGGGAATTCTTAGGAGGCCTGTGTGTGTGCCGGACACTCCACCAAACGCAGGGTTGAGAAGAGGAGATAGAGATGTAGCGCCTGCTTTTGTCGAGAGGAAACCTACTCATAGGAAGCTGGAAGCTACAGCAGAAATAGACACAAGGACAGTGGGACCCGGAGAGGCATCCCAGGACAGAGGACCCTGGAACAGAAGCCTGAGTGGGGAGTGTGCTTTGTAGCCCAGGTTTCTGAGTGTACTAAGGTCTGAAAAAACGAGGTGAGAGATGGCACTCCAACCTGAGGCTGTTTAATTCTGTCAGAACTCAGTAAAGGTGGTGCTTCAAGCCAGCCAGCAGAGGATGGACTGCCCAGTTATGGCTTTAGCACAGTTAATTACATTTGATTCTTCACACCAAAACCCAGAGTAAATCCTGGTCAATTAAATATTTAAATGCAGGTAATATGACCATAAAAAGTATTGGGAGAAAATGTAAGGGGCTATTTATTAAATATTTGATGTTGTCTTTATGAAGTCCCTTCCATTCCAAGACTGAAAGTTATTAACTGTGGTAGGCACTGACTCCTTCTTTCAGATTCTCTCTGTCTTATATATAGTTATCATATATTTTGTTTAAAAATTTAGTGATGGGGGGGTGGGGATGGGGGAGAGTGGGGGGTAATGGTAAGATAAGAACACATATAATACCTTAATTTAAAAAATGAGAGAAAAAAAAGAACAAAAAAGACAAAAAAAATTTAGTGACAGGTGTTGGGTTATTTTTTTGTTTTTGTAATTTAAACATGACTTTTTAGTTTGTAAAGGTGATACATAATTATTATAAGACCTTTAAACCATATAAGAACACAACAAGGATTAAGTTATTTACAAATTCACTCCTGACTCTTCCTCTCCAAATTCATCATTTTAAATATTAATTGAATATTGTTCTAGGTGCCTTTTTTATATTTGCATATATAAAAATAACTTACTGCTCTAGGTGGTTTGACTCAGTGGATAGAGCAGCAGCCTGTAGACTGAAGGGTCCCAGGTTTGATGCCAATTAAGTGCACATATCTTAGTTTCAGGCTCTTCCCCAGCCTGGGCCTGGTTAGGGGTCATGCAGGAGGCAACCAATCAATGTGTCTCTCTCTGTCTTTCCCTCTCTCCTCTACTCTCTCTAAAACTCAATGAAAAAAAAATATCCTTGGATGAGGAAAAAAAAAAAAAAAGAAAGAAAGAGAAAAAAAGAAGCAGCGATCAGACTCTCAAACCTCAGAGGGAAAGTAAGGGAGGATGGGGGTAAGGAGAAGAGATCAACCAAAGGACTTGTGTGCATACATATGGGCCTAGCCAGTGGCCATGGACAATGGGGGTGTGGGGGTGTGGGGGGCACATCTAGGGAGGGGTTTGGGATGGGAATGGGGGAATAAGGACAATAATGTGAGACCATAATCAATAAAATAAATTTTAAAAAGGATAACTTGCTAACTAGGAATAATTTAATACAACATGAGATATACTATATGTTTTATTTTTAATTAAATAATTAAAATTTACCTTACTTAAATTTATAGAAGAGAATCTGAAGTACAATAGGATAAATTGCTGATCTTTAAGAAAGTGTTTCTCAACTATAAGAGATATTAGTTCCCATAAGATATCCCTCTAAAGTTGCATAAGTGATTTTGCAAAACAGAGAAGATTGAAATTACTATGTAATTTTTACTACATAATACTTGTAATTTTAGACTGGATTGGTTGGAAAATTACAATAAGAAGAGAAAATCAGTACGGTAATGCTTCCTCCTTCTCCTGTGTTCCATTTTCCAATTTTTTCAACTTTGTATTAGTCTTACCTTCTCAGGGTTTGTAATGTTTAGATTCTGTTTTATAACTACAATTCCAATACTTACATGGATTCAGTGTTTTCATTAGCAGTTCTCCAACAATAGCTTCTTCAATTCTGAGGCCTTGGTTGACTGTATTTCATGGTCAAGAGATTCCTTCAAGAAGGATCAGACATTCTTCAGACTAGAATGTCTGCTCGTTATCTTGATATTTTAGGTATCACCTGGCCAAAGTTAAAATTCTTAGGGAACACTTTCTTTCCTCAGGACTTTGTAGATATTCTTTTGGTATCTAATGGTACCATGAAGAAGAGTTAGGACAATTTTAGTCTCTCCTGAAAATGACTTACTTTTGCCTAAATGTCCAAAGAATTCCTTCTTTTGCCTTGAATCACAATAACTTAATCAGGATATGTCTCAGGGCAATGTCATTGTGTTCTCTCAGATTTTCCTATAATTCAGTTTCCTATTTTTCTGTGTAAATTCTTCTGTTTCAGGGAACTTTTTTTTTTTTTTTTTTTTTTTTTTTGCTGTTCTCATTTTGAGTACTTGTCTTGCTTCATTTGTTTGGTTTCTCTGTTTTGCAGACACAATTGTATATTCTCAGGTGTTCTCATTTTTTTTAGCTTCTCTTTTTTAATGCTTTTGTATTGTATCTGTTTTCACACAAGCCTTTTCTTTATGAGGACTTTAATTTTCAGATATATCTATTCTGTACTTTGGTATTTTTAATTATTCTGTTTGGTTTTTTGTTCATTTATCAGTGCATTTTCTGAGCATAGAATATGCCTAGGAACTGTTGTTTTTGTCATTCCTCTTTGAACTTTTAAAAATGGAATTCACATTTTTATTAAGAAAGTGTGAAATGTTTGTAAGACATTTTCTTCTGTTTGAGTTATCTTCTCTTTCAGATTTGGTTTTTCATTGACTTTTTGAATGCTATTTCTCTCTTAATTCTCTTTCTCTTTCTTTCTTTAATTTTGTTGTTATTCTTGAGATGTGGTAGGTGTGATGTTTGTTTTCATCCCTCTTCTGCATGGCACACAGAGGGCCATCCGGCCTGTTTGCTCTGATGTAGAAGTGGATTCTTCTTGGCTACCTCTGCATCTTGACTAAGAACTGTTTGTGTCCCACTTCCAGTGATATTCTGAGGACAGGGTACTTATTGTTCTATTTACTTCATTTATGGACTGAAAGAACATGTAAAAGAGAGAAAGAACTCAGCTGGGGTTTTGTGCAGCCTTTTTTGGAGGATCCCACTTCCTGTGGTTCTTCTGAGTTCTGGAATGGATCTGGGAGCTGCACCAGGTCACTTGATCCAAACTGGATGGATCTTTTCCCCGAGGGGCGGATTATTTGTCTCTCAGAATGGGCCCTTGGCCAAGGATTGAGATAGATTATTCTCTCATTAGAGAGAATCAGCCCCATTTGTTTACTTTCTTAACTCATTTATGTGTTGTCTTCTGCAGCACTTTCCAAAACTCCTGTAAGTCCAAAAGAAGAGAAAAGATAAAGCTTTGGCCCTCTGTTTAAAGGTGTGTGTGTGTGTGTGTGTGTGTGTGTGTGTGTGTGTGTGTGTGTGTGTGTGTAAGACATGTATAAGATATTTCATCTGGCTATTGGTATCTCTTATCTCTTCTCCACTTTCCTCTCTTTTGATGAATCATGACAATGTGATGGCCTTTTGTCCTTTGGTTCTGCCAAGTGCACTCTTTTTGGAAGGGTTCCTTCACAAAGAACAGTTAGGTTAGTTCTACCCTTTTTCTCTACTCGCCATCTGATGTGGAGAGACCAAATATTCCACTGTGGCTCTACTGGTGCTGAGACCCTGAAGTGGAAGTTGAAGCTCCTATCTCTCCCCAGAGTAGCCATCCCCCTGGGCTGCCTTCCCCCAACCCTGGCTCCTCTTTCTGAGGCAGTTGTTGGAGCTGGAAGGCACATGAAGCTAAAATAAAATCTTCTGTTTCTTTCCTTCATCTCCTATTTGTGATATTTAAGGCATAGGAGTATGTCCCTTTCATTGATCATTTGGTGGCAGCAAGACCTTAGCTATTTTCCACATTTTTAGTACATGGCTTGCAGTTGTCACTGTTTGAAGTTAATTTATTTAAAACATTATCTTTTAAAAGGTAAACACCCTTTGTAGACTACTCAACTGTTACTGCAGTCATTCCATCCTGCCTTGTACTATAGCTCTTCAGCAGTCCACTTCTTCCAATGCACTGTGAAGTCTCTGAGGCCGGTAGGGTGACCAGTTGTCCCAGTCACTTGGGACTGAGTTTTCCTGCCATGTGGATTTTCAGTGCTAAAACATGGAGAATCCCAGGGAAACTGGATAGTTGGTTCCCCAACAGGGCCATACATGAATATTCTTCTTACAACTCACACAATGAGAATAATGCATTGCACAACCAAATTAGCTCGTGGGGTCCAGGCAGGCTGTGTCCAGGTACAAATCATTTCAGCAAAACACAGACAGCTTCATGTGCAGTCATCCACAGGCACACTCTTTCTCATTCACATCGTTGGGACGGAGTCTAGTGAGAATTCTTGGAAAAATACAAACATTACAAGACCATTCAGGCAGACAGTGATGTTTCCATAGCTCTCTGCTCCTCCTCTCATCAAGTATTTTTTCATTGCATCACAGAGTTTCAGTCATGAACAAGAGGAGCACTTCTCAAGGGCAGGAATGTCTGACTCATTTTTAAGCTCCCCTGGTAGAGAAGCTGGCACCCAGCCTGTTGTTTGTTTGGTTATTGTTAGCTGAATGCAGGAAGGAATGAATGAATACATGGCAGGGAACCCCGGAGTGGATCTCTGAACAAATTCTGCTTTGCCTTCTCAGGAAACCTCAGCTGGTGAAGGGAAAGGAAAGGTCCAAAGTGTCTGTTCTATTCCTTGAAAACAGGAAGTGTTTTGAATGGATTTTAAAATGCCGGTAAAGATGTCCCAGGAAGGGAGAGGGAAGGGGAGAGAAACACACACACTTGAGAATGCTTCTTTATTCAGGCTCCGTGGGTGACCTCTAATGATTCTGGGATGGACTTTTTCCAACTGCAAACACAACTTCATAAAGAACAGATTTTGGGGTGCTTGGCATTGTGTGTGTGCTTTCGTTCTACCTGATGAGTGTACAGAAGGGATCGTTTATGTACAGAGAATTTTATTGTCGGGAAGTGATGATTCAGTCTGTAGGGACTGGGGCTCTGAGGGAAGCTCTGTGTATTAAAGCATCCAGGGCTTCTGTGTTTGGTCCTGAGTCTGCTTTTAGGAGCTCTGCCATCAGCCTGGGTTCACAGGCAGCTCTTACCTTACCTTTCTTCCACAGGAAATAAACAGAATTCTCAGAACCAAGCCTGTGAGCAGGCTGAGCCCTGCGTGCCTGTTGCCCAGGGTCAATATAATCACGCATTAGATTTCTCCCACTTGGAATTCTCTTCTTCCTCCACTACCTTTTTAAACCCAGTCCATATTTCAAGGCCCCAACCCACAGAATTTCCTGTGTTTTCTGAGTTCCCTACATTTTTTATCACTGTCATGAGGTGTCCTTATTTTATTTGAGCTTATTTTATTCCTTATGTAAGTGTTCTGAGGTGAGAAACTGTATCTTCTATTTCTTTGGATTTCTCCCAGCCACCCGAGCTAGACAATCACTCCTTTTTGATGTCATTATAAAATGCATTGAATAAATTGGCCTCTGCAATTAGAGCACACAGATTTCCAGAACGAGATGATATGGACTGTTGTTTGGCGGTTAAGAAAGGTAGCTAACACAGGGACAAAAGGAATAAAATGGAAGGACATGCAAAATATCAAGATAGCACAAAAAGTCATCTTGCCAGTAGAATCTTTCCATTAACATGCTTCCAGAAAACACCTGTGAAATTATGCACACACATACACATATATGTTTATGCAGACATGTACACCAAAGCACATGTTTACACATATACTTTGACCTACACATTTCTGCACATACATGAATACACACTGCACATACTAGTATAGATGAAGTAAGTGCTCGGCAGAGGATCATACCGTGGTGGCTACACAGAAACCAGGTGTTACCATTGAGAGAGCAGGACTTGGCAAATGCCAAGCTTTAGTGGGGACAGCAGGTGTAGACCAGTCCAGAGCCGGAGGCCCGGCACTGAGCGGGCTGCCAGGACCCTGGAGTGTGAGGTGCCGATGCCTGGGACAGAGTCACAGAGAGGAGAAATGGGGACGTAGTGAAGGTAAGTGTATCTGCTTGGGAAGAGTGACAGATTGCAACTGTACTTATGCCTTATCCTTCCCTTGGACAGTCATGCCACTGGGTGTTCCCAAGAGTTTCTAGAGTTCCAAATGGAAGCATGTTTCTGCCTTTACGTGTTCAGTCTTTAAGACAGATTAGCACACAAGAGCAAAGTCCATAGACAAGGATTCTGGTCTTAACCTCTCTGGGTTTTAGCTTGCTCATCGGTACATGGAATTTGTGTGTTCTTATTTCATAGACTTCTCTAGGTGTCCCATTGGGCCCGGTTTATGGCAGATTGGCCCTGTAGCCTTTGAGTTTCCATTGACCAGATCTGCACATTTAAATTTTATTGTTTCTTGGTAAAAATCAGTGCAAATACAAGTCATCGTGATGGTCAGGCTTATTTTAAGACCCTTTTGCACTTTACAAAATAGGTTATTTGCTTGGGTTTTTCCTGTTACTGTGGAAACAGGTCCAGACATACACATGTTTTATTTTCTAGGGAGACATGCATCCAACAGGATGGGAGGATTCATCTCACCGTTGTTTACTTTGGGAAAGAAGAAATGAATGAGGTCAAGGAAATACTTGAAAACACTTCCAGGTAAGTTCGACATGGGGCTGTAATCAGGAATCACGGTCACTGAGCTCATACACGTATCCAAGGCTAAAACTCCTATTTCTGTCTTATTTTCCTTAACACTGTGGGGGAACTGCTGGCTGTGTGTAGGGGGAGATCTGCCTGACACCAGTGCTCATGGTGCAGGGTGTTGTTGATTTTGACTTTGAGATAAACTGCCATGAGCAGCCAGAGTAGGGGTAGGGAGATGATTGGATGTCTGCACTCTCAGGACTGCAAGTTTGAGGTCTTTATGTCACAATGTGGAATTAGGGAGGGTACGGCCATGCAGGCAGCGCCATCTCAGCCAGCTGGTAAGGCTAAGAGTGGTATCCATTCTTAGGTGGCATTCACTTAACCAGTGGTCTCACTCTTCTGATTTTCATTCATTATGCATATCTAGAGATTACAGGGAAGCAGGAAATGGTAACTGGGGCAGGGTCCTTGGTGAAATTTATTCAGTTGAATAGAAATTATTTAAAAACTTTAGACTTAGGATTTGTATTTATACCCCATTGATCAGTAGTTAGGGAATAAATATGTTCGAAGACAGCAGAGATGGATTTCTCCCCCTACAAATATGCAAATGATTATTTAATAAATAAACATCTATGGCACTTACTACTAGTGAGAAAGCTGGAATGGTATTGCCATGATCCCTTGTGGTTTGTTACGGAGGTTTGCAGGGTTTCAGTTGAGTAATTGGGGGAGGGGATGGGAGGTAGTTTCCTTATAAGTGAAGCTTAAAGGGTAGTAGTGGCAGGAATAGTCAGAATAGATCCAAATTGTTAGAAATGCACTTAAGTGGTGTCAGGAGGATGAGACAGATACTCGAAAATGGCTTGGTGCATAGCCAATCAAAAATGTGATGGAGGCACACATTCTCCTTTTATCCCTGACTCTTTGCTGCACTGTGCTCTGATTGGCTTAAGAACCTGGCTTCACATTCTGGTTTGAATAACTAATTCAAGAGGGGTGGTGCAAAGGGGGCGGGGTTGTTCTAGGTCAGTGGTCGGCAAACTCATTAGCCAACAGAGCCAAATATCAACAGTACAACGATTGAATTTCTTTTGAGAGCCACATTTTAAAAACTTAAACGTCTTCTAACACCACTTCTTCAAAATAGACTCGCCCAGGCAGTGGTATTTTGTGGAAGAGCCACACTCAAGGGGCCAAAGAGCCGCATATGACTCTCGAGCCGCAGTTTGCCAACCACCGTTCCAGGTTAAGCTACAAAATGGAGGTTTATACAACAAGGAAATGGAGTTCGTATCTAAACTATACCTTTGACAGAAAAGACTTTTTGATTCTCACAATATGGCCTAAATATAAACAGAGCCTCTGTTTTGAATTTCTGGTAAAGGGTAATCGGGTGACAGTCAAAGGATAAGATTCCAAGATTGGGCGCACTCTGTATTGATTTTCACGCTTTGTTACTAATTTTGTATTAATGGGCACAAGAACAGAATGCTAATTATATTTATTCAATCGTTCTGAGGCAGTCCACTAGCCAAATTTTGCCCAACACTTCTTTTTGTAAGTTTTGCTGGAATGCAGGCATGCTCATTTGTTTACATACTATTTATGGTGGCTTTTGTGGTGCAGCTGCAGAACTGAATAGTTGTGACAGAGAATGTATGACTCACCAAGCGTGAACTCTCTCCTCTCTTGTCCTCTCCAGAAAAAGTTTGCTGAATTCTGTTTTAAATCAATTATGAGTTAAGAGTTTAAAACCAGTAACAGCTTAAAGCTATGGCCTCTGTTGAAGGGAGATCAAAGAGAATAAAATAGTTGAACATCCTAAATGTGAAATAGAAATATCTCAACTGCAGTGCAATATCCTTTTCACCTCTGCTTAGGAATGGGGAGCATGAATTATTAGAATTTGTGGGCTCTGCACTGTGGATAGGTTTTAATGTCTCTGGAATATCCATCCCTGGGAGTTGGTCTTTTAAAAATTTCCCAGATGTTTCTAACACAGAGCCAGGATTGAGAGCCTTTGTCTGAGAAAGCGGCAGTCCATCCCAGGGGCTGCAGCCAGCTGCCCATTTCGAGGATTTTTAAAATATATATATATATTTTTATTGATTTCAGAGAGAAAGGAAGAGGGAGAGAGAGATAGAAACATCTATGATCAGAGAGAATCATAGATTGGCTGCCTCCTGCAAGTCCCCCACCAGGGATTGAACCCACATCCAGGGCATATGCTCTCAGCCGGAATCAAACCTGAGACCTTTCAGTTCACAGGCCGATGCTCTATCCACTGAGCCAAACCAGCTAGGGCTCCAAGGTAATTTTTTAATAGCTATCCAGGTGACCCTCAGTCCTGTTAGGTCTGGCACCTTCCCAGGATATCAAAGGATGACCAGACATTTGCTCATAGATACATATAACCAAATTTACCCAAGTCTGATGGATGGTATATATGAAAAGTTATATGAGAAACTTTTAAAATTATTTTTATCATTCTTTGAAGATGGTATAACTCTTATTCACATGGATCTTATCTTTGAATAATAACCATTGTTATTATTTATGTGAATGATCTTTATTATTCTCAGCAATGTCACTCGATAGATGCTATTAGCCCCACATCAAAAACTGAGGCTTAGCGAGATTGTTTAGACCTTGTTGTGGCAAATACCCTTTCAAATGATTAGAATGCTTATGGACTCTTAGTATCAAAGGCATTTTTCACCATATCAAATTACCTGGCAACTAAATTCTCAATCAGCAGGGTGCTTGGTGAGGAAGGAATAAAGAGAGTCTGATCAAGAAAACTATCATCATTTGAGCGATAGGGATCCTTTACTTAAAATGTTCAAAAATTTCTAGTGGTTAACCTACCCAGAGGACTTAGTGTTAGAGACTGAACTGACCTCTTTAAAGAAAGAGGCGCTACAGAAATCTTGGCAACATTTATTGGAACCCCGTTTTTCTCTGCGGATGGCCTCATTCTGTTAACTGGTGCTATCTGCAATATTGATGCCTTGGGGCCTGGCCTACACCCTCCATTGTGTTGCTTTGATCAGACCGTCTCCCTAGGAATGCCCCACTCTCTGCAGCCAGCTCGAGCCCATAGTAATCTAGATGAAAACTTAAAGTTAGAAGCTTTTAAAATCATCTTTATCATTCTTTTAAGAAGGTATAACTCTTGTTCACATGTATAATAATAATTATTATTTATGTGGAGGATCTTATTTAATATTCACAGCAACCTTATGAGAGACTAGTAGATGCTACTAGTTGCATTTTAAAAACAGGCTTAGCGAGGTTGTTACTCAGGCTGCCCTCTGACACCTGGGAGAGCCAGGATCTGAAGCTTGTCTGTGAACTTCCAGGACTCATGTCTTAAAATCTTCACTCCAATCGAAACCGGTTTGGCTCAATGGATAGAGCGTTGACTTGTGGACTGAAGGGTCCCGGGTTCGATTCTGGTCAAGGGCATGTACGTTGGTTGCGGGCGTATCCCCAGTAGGGGGTGTGCAAGAGGCAGCTGATCGATGACTCTCATCGATGTTTCTGACTCTCTATCTTTCTCCCTTCCTCTCTGTACAAAATCAATAAAAAATATATTTAAAAAATCTTCACTCCAATGTACTCCATCCTAGAATCCGTAGTTGTTAATTGAAAGTAATGAAATATGAAATCAATATAAATGAAATTTATTTCAGTTGGGTATCAGCATTGTGATTAAACTGCTCTAAATGCAGCTAATTGTATATATTTTTAAGGATATCTAAATGCAGCTAATTGTATATATTTTTAAGGATATCTTTTAAAAATCTACTTTGATGTCTGTGTGCAATGTTTTACTCAGTTTATGCTCACTCAGTTGAGCTTTACTTTTCAGTTGATTGCTATAAATCAGTGTTTTGCAAACTGAAGTTTGTGATTCATTAGAAGGTTGTGAAGTAGATTTATGCACAGTATTATAAAATAATTGAAATAGAATAGATAGAAGATATAAGTAGTAAGGATAAATAGTGTTTCATTAAATATTAATTTCTTTGTGTTTGTGTGTGTGTCATAATATATATTCCTTTATAAGGACTTTGGTAAAAAATATTTACCAAAGAAAGCAGTGTAAATCAGTTCTCAATATCTGATTCTTATTCCACAGAGTTTTCCATATTAAGCTTCAGTTAATCACAAAGTACAGCATCACACTCAGTGGATCTCAAATATAAATGCATTTTGTATAACCAGAGATGCTTTAAAAAATGCACCTTCCTGGGACCCAGCTCCAGAAATTCTGAGTCGATAGGCCTGAGATGAAGCTTGTATCAACACTTAGAATGAGTACCATATGTTGATGCGGGTGGTCCATGCTCCCACTTTGAGAAATGCTGGCAGAGGTAGACATTTGCTTGGAGCTACACACAGTAAGTCCTCAATGTCATCAAGAGGATCTGTGACTGTAAGTGAAACATGTATAAGGAAACCAATTTTACCATAGGCTAATTGATATGAACAAGAGTTAAGTTCCTATGACCTATCATCTGTCTATAATAATAAAACATAATATGCTAATTAGACCAGATGTCCTTCTGGACGTCATTCAGTCCTTCCGGACAAAGCCAGGGCTGTGAGGGAAGCCTGGGTCCCAGGTGCTAGAGGGAAGCTGGTGCCAGCAGCTAGGGGAAGGAAGGACTGCTCTTGCATGAATTTTGTGCATTGGGCCTCTAGTGTTATAATAAAACATTGTTGGCCATAACAATGTTATTTGAGGACTCTTCAATATTTTGGAAGAGTTTTGAGAAGGATTGGTGAAAGCCCTCCGGTCCTGGGTTTTCATTTGTTGGGAGATTTTTGACTACTGATTCAATCTGCTTGCTCATTATTGATCTGTTCAGAATTTTCTATTACTTCATGATTCAGTCTTGGTGGGTTGTATATTTCATGAATTAATTTTTTTCTAAATTATGTAATTTATTAGCATATAATTACACATAATTTCTTGTAATACTTTGTGTTTCTGTGTTACCAATTGCAATGTCTCTTGTTTATAATTTTTATTAATTTGAGTTCTCATTTCCTTTGGTAGTCTAGCCAATGACTTGTTAATTGTCTATCTTTTCAAAAGGAACTTGCTAAAACAGAATCGTATAGCAGCCTTGGATAACCTCAGAATCTAGAAAATTCTAAATTAATTGTTCAGCATGCCTATTTTAAATCCTTTACTGTAGTCAAATGTCTTCAGTAAGTAGAATTTCCAGGTGATTTAATATTTAGGGCTCTTAGATTTAAAACTGTAAATTATACACTGATTATAATGCTGGTTCCTATGTAAGTTTTTAAGTGCTTTTTTAAAATGAAGGGTTGTTGTGGGAAGTGTCATGTTAAGAGAATTTCCTTGCAGTGGTGGGAAGAAGTATGTATTAGAGTAAATCATATTAGACAGCAAGATCTTCCATCATTTTTTAATCCTGCAGTTCTGGGAAATGCAAGTCAATTAGAGAAATTAAATCTCCAGCAGAAACCCTAGCTTTCTCGGATCATTATAACCTTCAATCAGAATGATTATGTATAACTTGGAGGAGTCCCCATATACCAGACTTACTATATAAAGGAAAGGAATTCAATGAGGAACTCAAGAGTTCATCAGCCAATAATACAAGTCGAGAAGAAAAGAAGAAATAATTATGAGTAATCATGTGTCCTTTTGAAACTGCAAACTCTGATGCATAATAGGAAATCACCAAGTATAGAATGCAGTGCTCTCATTCTACCATGAAAAATGTCCGTGCCTTATGAGACGTGCCGCGAAATATTACATTTCTTTGCATGGGTGAATTAAATATTTCAGACCAGAGTGTATCTTGTTTTCCTCGGCTCTCTTTTGTTCTGTTATTTATCTGTTTGTCGTCTTGTTCAAAGCTTAGGTTTGTGTCTGTTTTTTGGAATCTGTTGGTCAAGACTCTTTGTGGTATGGGAGGTGGACTTAGGTGCAGGGGCTTCTCCGGTGCCCACCCGAGGGAAGACGGTGGCATTTTGGAAGTGGGAGGCAGTCCTCCACTCAAGCTCATCGGAACCAGCAGCAGAACACAAGATGCAACAGGACAAAAATGACAGATTTGAGAGGTGCCTCGGTGTTGCCCATTGATTTGGCTCTTAATCAAGAGCCAAACAGATCAATAATCTAGTGTTTCTTGATCATCTACTGTGTCCCTGTGAGTACCACTTCTTGCATGGTGTCCGATCACCTCTGAAGATAGAAACACAAAGTGAGGCATCCCTGGCCTCCAAGGTTTAGAGCGTGGAAGGTCATCTGTGCATGTCTACACACAGCAAAGGCACAAGAAGGCACTGGGCACAGAAGGACAGAGGCAGAACTGGAAGTGATGCCTGGGAGCTTTAGTTTGGCTTTAGTTTGCAGCAAGGCCTGAGAGAGGCAGTGACCCTTGACATGGGCCATGAAGATTGAGTGGGACTTTCACTGGAGCAGGTGGAGGAAACCTATTCCGGGAGGGACCACCGAGCAGAGGCAGGAGACCCCAGCTATGTCCATGCCATCAGCGGCCATCTTCTGGCTGGTCACTCTGTGGCAGGGGGGACAGACCAAGGACAAAACAGGGTCCCTGTCTGTGCACCTTGATGGTCTGCATTTGGGGGTTGCAGCCCTGTGGCCATGTTGTGCATATTTTAAAACCCACAACTGCCAGACCAAGTTGGGGCAAATCAGTGTTCTGCATTGGAATGTCCTTGCTTTTCATGGCTTGGCTGCCTCTTATACAAGGTTTCAAATATTACTGAGCAAGGAGTGCTCGGATGTGAATCTTCTGCCCTACGAGCAGTGTTTCTGAGTGAAAATAGGGGATGTTTTGAGGGAAGAAGCCTGATGATCCTGCAGAAGCTGGTTTCTCTTTGTCCTGTTGCATCTTGTGTTCTGGTACCGGTTCCGATGAGCTTGAGATGAGAGGACTGCCTCCCACTTAAAGGTTCTTATTTTTCTGGAGCTTCCAGATCAGCCCTCTTCCTTTGTGGAGAACACTTGTTAATGATCAGAGTGCCTTCCTGATGGCAGAAAAGAGGGTGGGGTTCCCAAGATAATGGTTAATTATAAGAAGTGCTGGCGTTGAGTGATTAGAAGAAGGATAGTACCATTATCCATTCGCAGGTGGACTCATAGCTGAGCACGGTGACCTGGCAACCACTCTGGGAACCACAGTGCCCATGACAGCTAATGTGCTTCCCAGGCCTGCCTCTGTGTGCACTGATGTCCAGCTCCCTGATGAGGCCTTCAACATAAGGCCATCACATACGTGTGCCACCAGGCCCGCAGTAACAATGCATGTCTCCTGCTGGGCAGCATTGGTCAGGGCAGGGTTTCGTATAGAGGAAGGAGTGGGGTTTGGAGGGAAGTGGAGGCTGCTGGTGCCAGATGGGCACTGGCTCCGTGGGGTGAGAGGTTTCTGTGTGGGCAGAACTAACTGTGTTAGTTCCCATCCCTGTCCAATCACTGCCCAGTACACAAGTTAACGTGGTTAACCTCTCAGAGGAGGATCCTCTGGTACAACCTGAGTGAAGACAGCCTTGCTGCTACCCTGCATTTGGGCGTGTCAGTCCTCTCTGCCCTGCAAAGTAGCTACAGCTCACCCCGCAGTCTGGGAGGGTCTCAAAGAGCAGGAACCTTGAGACAAGCAAAGCAAGAGACCTGCTCTTGGCTTTGAGAGAAACATGGATCTCAAGATGGCACATGAGTCATGGGAGACCTAGAGACCCCATTGGATGAACAGGTGAAAGACCAGGCAATGCCCCAGGGTAACACTTTCCAGAAAACTGAGCAAATAGGGCAGGGAGAAGTGAGTTGAGCCTGGCTTATAGGAGCTGGGCTTTGGAAACCTTCAGGGAGACAAAGATGATTGCACCTGGACAGTTTGGGAGACTGGGAGGTAGCTGTCCTTCACTTAGGCCAACTGAGGACTGAAGAGGCTGTGGAGCACATCCACAGTTCTACTCACAGGAGAGATGACCTCAGCCCCAGGCTGGAGAAAAGAGGGAAGGTCAAGCCCTGAGGGAGAGGAGAGAGCCTCTAAATGTGGGGCAGTGCTGAGCACAATGTACAGAAATAGAATGTTTGGGTGAAAGGGCCTTTGTGCAGTGAGGAAACAGAGGCCAGAGAAATGAAGTGATTCGCCCCTGATACATTAGAGGCAGGGCTAGCATTAGAATAATTCATCTGTTTACATGTTTATTTACAAACACCTGCACTCGTGGGGGCCAGGCACGGTTCTAGGTCCTGGATCCGGGTTTCCTGACTCATCCACCAGAGCCCTTCCCATCACCAGGCCTCCTGCCTTGATCTGAACCTGAAAAGCATGTCTGGCATCGGACTCAGACAGGTTGGGCCCACAGATTACCAAGATAAAAACCCAAGCTCGCTCCCAGATCTGAGAGAAGATGAGAGGTCTAGGAAGGGGTAGCAGAACTGGTTTCACTGATTAAGTTACAAGATATAAGTGCAATTTAGCATTTGATAAGTTTATGACTCTATATTTGTGTTGACCTTTACCCAAGTGGAAGACATATTTTTAAAAATGGAAATAGGTTTTTGAACTTGTTTTTTACTACATCAGGATTAGAGAGAAGTTGAGGGATAGGAATAGGCCAGGTATAGGGAGGGCTGAGATATAAAAAGAAGGGTGATGTCAGCACAGGAAAAGGGGGATTTGCCAAGTGTCAGGCATCTGTGAAGGTGGAATTAGGAGTTAGGATAGGACTATAAGTAGTTCCGTAGTTCTTCCTGGTAGTAGACAGTCTCCATCCCACTAGGTACTGAATGAATTCCTGGAACTTGTGTGGAGACCTGTCCCATTTCAGAAGGTCCTGCTGTGCCTGGGAAAGAACAGCGGCAGGAAGACACGTCTTGGCCTCACTGCCCAGGGCCTGGGAATCCTCACCCGTGCCAGAGACAGCAGTAGCTGATGCTTACATAGTGCTTTCTACTCCTGGCTGTGTTTATCTAGCTAATAACTTGGTGAGACGGTTAAGGAAGGTGTTATTATTCCTATTTAGCAGATGAGGCAGCTGAGGTTCTGGGAGGTGAATGCCTAGATCACAGAGTTAATCTTTGGAGAGCCAGATCTGAGGCCGTTCTGGTCTCCTGAACCCAAGTCTCTCATTTTCCTTGTCTCGCTCTTCTGCATGTCCTGAGCGTGGGAAAGGAATCCAGGTTTAGATCGGTTTGGGGATAGGCATGTATCAAGACTATCAGGTCTGGCTCCTGGAGCTGAATACAGAGGAGAGGATGCAAGGTGGAGCCATTCCAACGGGATTCCATTTCCTTGGCCTAGTGGTTTCATTGCCTCAGAAGGTATGGAGATTTTCCTGGGTTTTGTTGACATAGCCTTCACAGGTTCAAGTTTTCTCCATCATACACATCACACACACACACACACACACACACACACACACACACACACATATTCATTAATCATGACAGTACAGTTTTCAATTTGGGAAAATTACTGAGAAGCAAGACATAAACTGGTGTTAAAACTTCCCTAGGTGTTTGTTCTTGGTACCTTTAATCCCTGTGTATTTCCAAAAAGTCTGGGTCATCCTGTAACTGCCTCGTCATCTCATTGCCCTCGGGGTTACAAAAGAAACATGTCCGGATGTGGACGGCCCTTGGTCGTGTATTTTCCAGGGGTCTCTGTTGACCCGGGAAGCCTGAGGGACTGTGTCTGTCTTCCCCTTTAGAGCTGCCAACTTCCGGAACTTTACCTTCATCCAACTGAACGGTGAGTTTTCCCGGGGGAAGGGCCTGGACGTAGGAGCCCGCTTCTGGAAGGGGAGCAACGTCCTTCTCTTTTTCTGTGACGTCGACATCCACTTCACCTCCGAGTTCCTCAACACGTGCCGGCTGAACACACAGCCAGGTAAGGGTGTGCGGCATCTGCTCCCTTCTCTCTCTCCCTCAGGGGGCCTTTGGCTCCCACACTCGGGCATCACTCTCTTCACCATTCACTCCGCTGTCCTGCTTCTGACTCGGCCTTAATCCCCCCAACGACAAAGGAAAGGAAGACCACTTGGTTGGATTTCTCCTTCGGTGCCACAGTGCGGGCTTGTCAGCCACCGGAATTCTAGGACTCCTTGTCCCAAGCTAATAACTTCATTTCCATTTTCACCTGGGAGGCTGGCTTTCATGAACATTCACAGGAGACAATGAGGATGTGACCTGGAGAAACTTCCTGGAACCAAAGGGAAAGAAGTAGCGGTGGGTGGTCACCAGAGGAAGAAGTGAGTGGAGCAGCAAGAACTCACAATGTGGAAATTATTCTCATGGCGTTTGACTTATAGGCAAGATTGGCATTCAGCTGATCACTACTGGAATGGGCATGCCTGTTGTTAAAATACTGAAACTCTTCAGATAAATTGATAAAGAGTAACGGCCCTGAACTCCCTACTTGGTGAGACGGTTAAGGAAGGTGTTATTATTCCTATTTATTATTCCTATTTATTATTCCTGCTGTACAAAGTCACCCCAGCCTTTGGGAACCTTCAGACTTCCCCACAAGCCAGCAATGAAAGGGTTAATGTCTGGCAGGGCAGAGGGCATTAGGATAAGGTGACCAGACGTCCTGCTTTTGGTGGGACAGTCCCAATTTCTAACAATGTGTCCCGCGGCGTTTTTAAAAAGTCCCAATTTTAAAAACGGGACACATGGTTAGAAATCAGGATGTCTGGTCACCTTACATTAGGACTGTCTTTCACACCCACTCTCATTGGTTGATATTGCTATTTTTGAATATCACTCTTGGGCTAAGAGGCTAGACTACCTTTGAGAGTCTGATCATCCAGTCTACCTGGTGCAGAACTTGTAAGATCTGTGTTAGACTTGAGTGAAGGGAAAAGGGAGAGCGGATGCAAATGCCTGGGATGTTTCCGTGGGTTGACTATAGGTGAGCACACCTATAGTGGTTTCATCTGTTGCTTTCAGCAAACGTTTGTTTTCTGGTCTGCAGGGAAGAAAGTGTTTTACCCAGTCCTCTTCAGTCAGTACAATCCCGCCATCATCTACGGCCACCACGATGCGGTCCCTCCCTTAGAGCAGCAGCTGGTGAGTGACCACCCGCGGGTGCCTCTGTGGGGCTGTTTCGTGTCTCTCCTTATTAGGGCGCCTGACCAGGAGTACAGGTGCATGGAAATCTGCGGATTGAGTCCTGTATTCATTTTCAACGTTGGCAGACGCGCTGGCCTTTGCTCCCAGTGCCTTGTTGATGAAAAGTGCTTGCAATATTTAAAAGTGGAAAACAGATAGGAACAGTACCTTACAGAAAGGTAATTTCACACCTTCCTAGTTTTCTCCTGTGGTTTTTAGAAACCGATGTTCTTGCGTTATGGATGCAGCGCATTTTCTCTTTATTATTAACAAACCCTGCAGGGTAACAAAGGTGACATTGTGTTCCCATTTGACAGATGGAAACTGGAAGTCAGAAAGGGGTGGCTCACCCCAGGACACAGGGAGCGAGTCGGTGGGGGAGCAGGGACTAGATCCAGCACCCTCGCATCATGCTGTCATTCCCACATATCACGGTGACGGGTGGACATTAGCATCAGCAGTGTCACAGGCGGGTGGCTTCTCTGCTATGATCTTAGCTGCACAGGCGATGGATGGTGGAGCCACAAAGCCACCATTCTGTAAGCTGAGTTGTCTCCATTGGTGGTGGCAGGAGTCAGTCCGCTTAGCAGAGAAGCGGGGCAGCAGCAGGAAGGTGAGACAAGCCAGAAGAGGGTCTCTGTGCCTCACAGAGGCATGCCCCTCGGAGAATCAACTTCCTGTTCTTGTCAAGTTGGGCTTGTCAAGGTGGTGTTCCAGCTCAGGCTGGGTCTCGGGGGAGCATCTGACCTGGGGTCGTCTGTTCGTTGCCTTGGTTCGCTCTGTCTCCTGTTTGAAGCAAAGCCACATTTCCTCCCATTGAGCACCTCATAGGCTGGGAAGGAAAACTGCTGTGTGAGGATGGTCATGTGACAGGACCACGTCTCCCATGCTTCTGTGCAATGGGAGAGAAAACTGATTTTCATGGGAAATATATGTTGTTGTTGTTTTTTAAAACACACACACACACACACTATGTTTTTATTCATTTTGGAGAGGAAGAGAGAGGGAGAGAGAGAGATAGAAACATCAGTGATGAGAGAGAATCACTGATTGGCTGCCTCCTGCACAGCTACTGCTAGGGATTGAGCCTGCAACCCAAGCATGTGCCCTTGACTAGAATTGAATTTAGGACCCTCAGTATGTAGCCCAATGCTTTATCCACTGAGCCAAACCAGCTAGGGTAAAAATATGTGTTTTATGAGATTCTTTAGTAGGATGAATTCTGTGTTCAAGCTTCCAAAAGTAGCAAAACCTGTTTTCCCAGCCATTTCCTGTGCTCCGCTCCAATTAACCTCTGGCAGCGGATGTTCCGGAAAGTGTCAGCTGAGGTTCTTTCAGGTTGGACGTCCTAGCACGGTTCCACTTGGGACACAAACCATACAGGAGAGTAATAATACAGTTTTCCCTTCCCCCGGATATGGTGAATGTCTCTTTATGTACCATATGTACCAGTAAGAGGTTTTACTCCCCAAAACCAATTTTTTAAAAATATATATTTTTTATTGATTTTTTACAGAGATAGAAACATCAGTGAGAGAGATTCATCGATCAGCTGCCGCTTGCACACCCCCTACTGGGGATGGGACCGCAACCAAGATACATGCCCTTGACCAGAATCGAATCCGGGACCTTTCAGTCCGCAGGCCGATGCTCTATCCACTGAGCCAAACCGGCCTCGGCCCAAAACCAATTTTTATCCACCCTCATTGAGACAGAAAAACTTCTTATTCCCATTCTATAAGAATTCTAAGCTTCTGATAGGTTTTGAGGGGGAAATGGGAAACAATTTATTTTCCTTCAACCAATCAGAATAAAAGTCCCTTTGATGTTAAATAAAATACCACATGACATTTGACATCAAATGAGATTACGGTTTTTACTTTAAACTCCTGAAGACCTTATTTGCTTGGAATTCTTGTCATTTTACAGGTTAATGGGTTTATTCTGTATTGCCATTCCTGCAGGGAAGCAGGAGGAAAGGGAAGCCAGAGGTATGAATTAGTGGTCAGGCCAGATTGCTGTATCGACAGCTGGAACCTCTAAGTTATCCTGCAGCCTTTAACATTTCCTAAACCACATAAGTTTGCTCTTTCGGGGTTCACTATTTGTGACTATTTAGTCCAGAGAAACACAGCATTTGTCTGTACGATGCAGGGGTCTCCATCTGAAAAGGAAAAGTATTGATTTTATTCTTTACTGGGTGAGCCATTTTTTGAGCACTTGCTGCCTACAGAGAACTAGTTTAGGTGTTAGAGAAACAGAGAACTGAAGCAGTTCTATGTACTCGGAAGTGATTGCAATATAATTTCAACTACTCTCTTGTTTATAGATTTACTGAAGATCTCACAGACAGCTGGTAGCAGAGCACAGGCCCAAACTAGGATTTTCTGACTCTAGTACAGGGGGAATAAATAGATTCGCTTAGGGTCTAGATGAGAGCTGAAATGTAAAGGAAATGACCTGACAAAAAGCCCAAAGGAGAACATCAAACTACAGACACTAATATAGAGATGGAATGTGGAGGAGCTAATGAGTTATAAAATAAAAAGGAATGATAAACCTTAGCTGGTTTGGCTCAGTGGATAGAGCATTGACCCTGGGGCTGAAGGGTCTCAGGTTTGATTCCAGTCAGGGGCATGTACCTCAGTTACAGACTTGATCTCTGGCCCCATTAGGGTGCATGCAGGAAGGCAACCAATCAATGTGTCTCTCTCACATTGATGGTTTTCTCTGTCTGTCCCTATCCCTTTCATTCTCTCTAAAAATCAAGGGGAAAATATCCTTGGGTGAGGAATTATAAGAGAGGGATAGATTAGGAAAAATTTCCTACCAAGGGTTCATTTGCACTCAGTCTAGAAGTGTATGGTGCATGTATATTAATGTATATTAATGCATTCTTATATTTTATTGATTTTCCACAGAGAGGAAGGGAGAGGGATAGAAAGCTAGAAATGTCAATGAGAGAGAAACATCGACCAGCTGCCTCCTGCACACACCCACTATCGGGGTTGTGCCCACAACCAATGTACATGCCCTTAACCGGAATCGAACCTGGGACCTTTCAGTTCGCAGACCGACGCTCTACCACTGAGCCAAACCAGCTTCGGCATATTAATGCATTTGTGATAGCCTTCCTGGAATACATCAGTGTCCAAAGGGAGAGCATAGGTCCCGAATGTCACTGTAGCAAAAGTTATTTATTCTTGCCAACAAGAGGCATCTTTTCCAGTAGCTCTGCAGATATGATCTCATCGTCAAGGTGCTGGCCATTACTTCTCCTGGCTACCAGCATTGCCAGTGTCATTGGATAACATTTTGTCTGGTGGCACAAGCAAGAAACCACATGTAGGGTATTTGTGAGTATGTTCAGACTACTTATTTCTCTACATTTGAGAACAGACCATTAGTAATAAGTAGTAAGTGAAATCATGAGACTTTATCCGAATATTGAATTTCTCAAATTTTACACCTGAGGTGAAACCTGCTGGTGCTTTCATGTAGAAGCAGCTCTCTGAGAAAGAAATGGCTGTAACTTCAATAATTATTCACATTCCACTTTCCTGGCTCAAGCTTTGTGAGTTCTTGCTGGGCCATGGCGGGGAGCCTCTTACCACTTCTGTCTTTAGACTCCTTCCCTCTTCTGTACTCAGTCTTTCCTTTATTCTCTGCCAGAGATACAGTTCCAAAGTGAAGATTAATTCCATTAAAAACTTTTTTTTCATGACATAAAGCCAGTGTGGTGTGCTAGTAAATGTTGAACAACCCACTCTCTGAAATGGGGGGAAAGGCCCAGATTCATAGCGTTGGCCATTTCCCATGGTGTCAGTTTCTCCACTGAGGCCTATTCCAGGCTACCGATGTGATGTCAGTCAACACAGTTGGGAAGAAACTTGCACAACCCTGGATGCTCTAGCATAGCCCCGATTCCTTGTTGGGATTAACTTTCTTCTACAAACTGACTCTAAAACTGATTATGGAGAAAATGTTTGCAAACCTCAACACCTGGCACAGGGTACCAGAGTGATAGACACCCAAGCCAGCCACTCTGCCAGGTGAGCACCCTGCTCAGTGCCTTCTCATCTCCTTCCATCTCCTCACCTCTTCTACTGCCCCCAGTGCCTGGCATCAGAGTCTGCCAGGCGGCCCACCCATCATTTCAGTCTGATGACTTTGTGCCGCTCTGTTCGGTGTGTCATGGTATGTCCTCACCCTCTTTCTGATTAAACCCTTACCTCTACCGCCTCCAAAAGTATTTACCACTGCACTTTCACGGCACTGACTTGGACAACTGCCCATGATGCAATTTGGGCCCTAAAATAAAATAATATATATTCAGGCGGAGTATTTCCTCTAAAGACAAGAGAGTCTCCCGAGGCCTGAGGTTGTGTCTGAGCATTTCACTTTAAACTCCTGAAGAGTGCTGGCCAGGCACAGTCTGTTTTTATTTATTTGGGGAGCAGATACTCATTGAGCACCAAGAGTAACATTAACAGAGCCAATCCGTGCAGTGTTTTGTAAGCCAGCACCGTGCCCGCATTATCTTGTGTCGTGCTCAGATATGAGTTAGTGGTCACGCCATCTACTGCATGCGAAGAGACATCATTATGCTCAGTTCACAGACGAGAACCTTGAAACTCGGAGGCAGAAGTCACTTACCCAGACTGCTGAGTGGCAGGATCGGGAGTGCAGGTACCACCGGTGTGATGGAGACAGGGCTAAGGATGCCGAAGGGACGTGTTCTTTGGCCTTAGTGCACTTCAGGAGAGCACAGAGTCTGTCCTTTGGTTACAGACCCCCAACAGAGGCAACCTGGACCATTCCTTGTCCAACATGCTACCCTTCAGAAGACACTTCATGTGTTTAATGCAGATATTGATAAAAGACATCTTGTTGGAAGTGTGGGTTAGTACAAATCTTGAAGGGGATGGCATTTGAGTCTGTTCTTAAGCCAATTCTTT